CTGTCATTCACATCGCTGGATCACGATGAGGCTCAGGTAAGTGCTGGGGGGGGGGCTGCTGCGCACAGAAGGTTTTTTTTTTACCTTTATGCATGGAGGTAAAAAGCCTTCAGTCTTTACAACCACTTTAATACCACTTTTATTGATCCTGCAGTCTGTTTTTGTTTACTGTGTTTTTTCTGACTACCAACGTTCTCCATGAGCTCCTGAACCTCTCCCTCACTTCCATTTGTTAGGCCTGAGCAGTGCGCAATAGTTGCCGTCGCTGCTCTATGTACACTACACATCCAATAGTCCATCTCAGGAGCGAGCAATAGAGGGTGGCTGCGTTCCTACATACGTAGGACCATGGAGAATGAACGTAGCCACTCTCTAACAGGAAGTCAACCAAAAAAAAAATATTGGGAGAAAGCTGAGAAATAGAAGGTAACCTTTTGCTGGAATATATTGCATTTTTAATACCACTTTAATGGCCCTGTAATCCTGTTTTTTGTGTGTGGGTTTTTTTTTTTTTTCTGTTGACTCCTTGTAACATCCTCTGAGCTCCTGAACCTCTTGTTTCCTCCTTTACTTCCATTTGGAAGGAGTGGTGTACATTAGTTGCAGTCATGGGTACTGCTCTATGTACACCGCACACCATATAGTCCATCTTGGAAGCGAGCAAGAGAGGGTGGCTACATTCCTACAGACCATGGAGAACAAGTGAAGTCGGCAAAAAAAATGAGAGTAATAAAAGGGACTGTTTTGCTGGAATTATAAATTTTTTGGGGTTTAATTGCACTTTTTTTGCTCTTGTAATGTGTTTTTTTTTTTTTTTTTTTTTTTTTTTTTATTAAAACATTGCTTACTGGGTGTTTGACTCCTAGCATTTTCCATAAGCTCACGGACCTCTCCTTCCCCCCCTCACTTCCGTTTGTTAGGACTGAGCAGTGTGCATTAGTTGCTGTCACTGTTCTATGTACATTACACATCCCAGAGTCCATCTCCGGAGCGAGCAAGAAAGGGTGGCTACATTCCCACATACAGTGGACTTTGGAGAATGAACGCAGCCACCCTCTAACAGGAAGTTGGCAAAAAATAAAATTGGGAGGAAGCTGAGCAATAGAAGGGACCACTTTGCTGGAATATATAAACTTTTTGGGTTTAAGCCCTGGTTCACATCGAATGCGATTTCAAATTGGTGCGATTTGGTCCCATTTAAAGCGCGACATACACACAGGTGTGGTTTCAGTGTCATTATCTTAGTCTGTGAGCGTTAAATCGCACTGAAGTGATGATAAAGTAATGCAGAAACTACTTTTCACATTACGCTGCTTGAAATTGCACGTATTCAGACAGTCCCATAGAAATACATTAGATGCAACTTCAGGTGCGATTTGTAAATCACATGTTGCAGCGTAGTCAACCAGGTATAATGGTCCTATAATCTGTTTTTTGTTTATTATTATTATACAGTATTTATATAGCGCCAGAAAGTTTGCTCAGCGCTGTACATTGTAATATCATTGCTTTCTGTGTTTTTCTGACTCTTAGCATTCTCCACGAGCTCCTGGACCTCTCCTTTTCCCCCCTTCATTTGCATTTATTTGGAACGAGCAGCGTACATTAGTTGCGGTCATGGGTACTGCTATATGTACACTACACATCCCATAGTCCATCCCAGCAGTGAGCAAGAGAGGACAGCTACATTCCAGGATACAGTGGGACCATGGAAATGTAGCCACCCTCTAACATGAAGTCAGCAAGAAAAAAAAAAATTGAGGCAACAGAGAGCAATAGAAAAAAAAACACTTTGCTGGAATATATAACATTTTTGGGTTTAATGCAATTTTAATTGTCCCGTAATCTGTTTTTTTTCGTTAAATTATTACAGGTATTTATATCATCCTCTTACTGTGTTTTTCTGACTCCTTGTAACGTCCTCTGAGCTCCTGAACCTCTCATTTCCCCCTTCACTTCCATTTGGAACGAGCAGTGTACATTAGTTGCAGTCATGGGTACTGCTGTATGTACACTACACATCCCATAGTCCATCTTGGAAGGAAACGAGAGGGTGGCTACATTTCTATATACGGAGGGACCATGGAGAACAACTGTAGCCTTCCTCCACCCGGAAGTCTGCAAAAAAAAAAAGTTTGGGAGAATTTCTGCACTAAATTACATTTTGCAGCAGTTTTACCTCTGTATGGATCCTGTAATCTGTTTTTGTGGTTTTTTGTTTTTTTTTAAATCATTGCTTACTGTGTTTTTCTGACTGCCAACATTCTCCGTAAGCTCCCAAACATCTCCTTTTTCTCCCCCTCACCTCCATTTGTTAGGACTGAGCAGTGCACATTAGTTGCTGTCACTGTTCACTACACTACATATCCCAGAGTCCCTCCCAAGAGTGGGCAAGATAGGACAGGTATGTTCTTTCGAACAGTGTGACCATGGAAAATAAATGTAGCCACCCTAACAGTCATTTGGCGGGAAAAAGATAGTTGCATTTAAAAATGCATTGAACCTCCCTGGCGGTATTCCCGAGTTTAGTTCGGGGTAAAGTTTCAGTACCACAAGCAGTAACCCCGAGCTACACTCGGGAATACCCTGCAGCGTTGCTCAGGGATTCACTCGATCACTTACCTTGTCCTGCGCTCCCGCGATGTCCCTCCTGTAATGTCCTCCTGCGGATGCCAGCATCCGTCTTCTGGGTTACGTCGCCTGCGACGTCGGGACGTACGGGGACGGAACGGCGGGAAATTTGAAAATGACAAAAAAGACTTTCACTAAAATCACATAGTAAAACATTCCTGTATCAAACCATTTCACATACATTTTGTCCCGAGTCCTTTGTCCTGCGCCCTGCCTGCATTTTTACTGTTCTTTCTGCCTGGAAACTGAGAAAAGTCCCATGGCGTCCAAAAAGTGTCCCTTTAGGTCAAAAGCGGTTTTTAGACCGGCTAGAGAACAGCGATAGTAAATCAGAACCACTTGCAGAATTGAGTGATAATGATTCGTGGGGAAATTCGTCATCAGACACTGAAAACGATTTTGCGACTTTGCTCAGTGATGTGCGAACTTGGCACTATATTTCAAATTTCAGTGTTTTTGGTTTGATTTATATTATTGATGTAAATTTATTATTTTTTATGATTCTTTATTAAATTATAATTTATGATTTCGTGTTTCAAAATTTTAACATACCCGGGATGTTTACTAGACTCTTGTTCGGACAGATTTCAGTGAGTTATTCCTAAAAATTTAGGCCTACAATAAAAAAAATACATATTTCCATGCAAAAAAAGTACCACTTTGAGCACAGAAATATGGACATAATCAGACCACTAGGGAGGTGAAAGTGACAATCTTTTTATTCACCAAATGCAAACTATACACATTTATTAATGCTGTGATCTATTTCACGAAAAAAAAGTTTTTTTTTTTTTTTTTTTTGTGTTTTGACTCCTTGTAAGCCCTGGTTGACACTGGATCCCACTTCACTTGAAGTTGCACGATTTCATAGCTGCTGGTGAGTGCAATTTCAGGTACTGTTCGCCTGACACCTGTGTGACTTCACACACAGATGTCTATGAAAGTCACATCTGAAATCGCAAAAAATCCTGCAGGAACCTTATTTTCATATCAGTGCGGCACTGCAAAGTTGCAGTTACAGCGATTTGAAAGGTTCTGTTGCCGACAAATAGGGTGCAACTTGTCCTGCAATTTGACAGTTTCAATTCGCATGACAAGTTGCATTGGTGTGAACCAGGGCTAACATCCCCCGTGAGCTCCCAAACCACTCCTGTCCCTCTATCTCCCATTTGTTTGGAATGAGCAGTGCATGTTGCAGTCATGTATACTGCTCTATGGACTCTACACATACCATAGTGTATAGTCTCAGGAGTGAAGAAAAGGGGGTGGCTACATTTTCTACATACAGAGGGACCATGGAGAACAAATGTAGCCACTCTCTAACAGGAAGTCAGCAAACCAGAGGAGATTAAGAGCAATAGGACTTTTTTGCTGCAATATATAAAATTTTTGGGTTTCATACCACTGTATTGGTCCCGCAATCTGTTTTTTGTTAAAACATTGCTGACTGTGTTTTTTTCTGACTTCTAAAGTCTTCTGCGAGCTCCCAAACCTCTCCTTTCCTCCTGCATTTGTTTGGAATGAGCAGGGCGCATTACTTGCTATCACTGTTCTATGCACACTACACATCCCCTAGTCCATATCAAAAGAGGGTGGCTACGTACACACAGTGGGACCAGGGATAACAAACATAGCCATTCTTTAACCACTTGCCCTCCTGAGGATTTACCCCCCTTAATGACCAGGCCTCTTTTTTGCTACTCGGCGCGCTGCACTAATTCAACTGATAATTGCGCGGTCATGCAATGCTGCTTCAAAACGAAATTTACGTCCTTTTTTTCACACAAATAGAGCTTTCTTTTGGTGGTATTTGGTCACCTGTGCGCTTTTTATTTTTCACGCTATAAACAAAAAAAGACCAAAACTTTTGAAGAAAAACGATTTTTTTTTTACTTTCAGCTATAAAAAATATATAGTAAACTCAGTTATACATTTAGGCCAAAATGTATTCTGCTCCATGTTTTTGGTAAAAAAATCCCAATAAGTGTATATTGATTGCTTTTGTGTGAAAGTTTATAGCGTCTACAAACTGGTATAGATACTGCAATTTACGCCATTTGTTTGCTATACAGCGCTGCGCTAGTTTAACGGACAATTGCGCGGTCATGCAATACGGTACATAAATGAAATTTACATCCTTTTTTTCCCACAAATTGAGCTTTCTTTCGGTGGTATTTGATCGCCTGTGCAGTTTTTATTTTTTGCGCTATAAAAAAAGGCTGACAATTTTGAGGAAAAAAAACAATATTTTTGACTTTGCTATAAAACATGTCCAGTAAAAAAAATTTAGAAATCAAATTTAGTCATAAATTTCTGCCAAAATGCATTCTGCGACATGTCTTTGCTAAAAAAAAACCCCAATACGTGTAAATTAATTGGTTTACGTGAAAGTTATAGCGTTTTACAAATAGCGGGAAAGATACTGGGATTTTTAAATTTTTTTTTTTTTTTATACTAATAATGGCGACGATCAGCGACTTATGGCGGGACTGCGGCGGACATTCTGACATTGGGGGGTACTGACTTGGGGTCACTGACATCCCCAGTGACACCAATACAGTGATCAGTGCAAAAAAAAAAACACTGACACTGTACTAATGGCACTGGGGAGGAAGGCATTAACTTTATTATTCAGTGAAAGGGTTAACTGTGTGAGGGGAGTGTTTTACTAGGGGGCGGGGGTGTACTGCACAGAGACACACTGATCGGGACAGATAAACTCTTCTGTCCAGATCAGCCTGTCAGGAGCTGTCAGGGAACTGACAGAAAGCACAGCTACTGCAGCCAGCCCTGCTCTCTGTCACTGATTGCCGCTAATCGCCGGGACATAGCCGGTAACGACTGGCTGTGACCCAGCGATTGACATCGGCGGGACAGGTAGGGCGGCGGTGCGCCCCCTACCTGTTTGGAAAACACACATTTTAAAATGTGGTTTTGCCCAGCCGTGCCGCCTGCTGCCGTATTTCTACAGTGGCTGGGTGGCATGTGGTTAACTAGAAGTCAGCAAAAACGAAAAAAAAAAAAAAAAAAACCTGCATTTAAAAGTATGTTTAATAATTAAAGTGACACCTATATTCTTCTGGAAAAGTAATCCATTACTTAGTGGAGCTCCACCCAAAAGGGAGAGTTCCACGTAAGGCCTCTTCTCTTCCCTGCCCTTTACCGAATGGCATTTTTTTTTTTGGGGGGGGGGGGTTACCTGATTTTGACAGATACTCTCTCCCATTTCCACTGAGATCGCCTACGCAATCCAAGCGGAAGTTCTCCTCGTCCCCTCCCTATAGTCTGCTGGGACACGTCACATGTCCCAGAAGACTGTGGGACCATTCACAAAGCGCAGAGCAGCATGTGCAGCGGGCACCCAGCTACAGTTTTTTTTTTTTTTTTTTTTTTTTTTTTTTTTTTTTTTTTTTTTTTTAGCTTCTGACTTTTAATAAACACAAAGCTGACTAATCTATTTTACTTTAAATAGTTCTGTACTTTTTTTTTTCCCCCTCTTTGTAACATCCTCCGTGAGCTCCCTAACCCCCCCCCCCCCCCCCTTTCCTTTTGGAGCAAGGAGTGTACATAATTTGCTCATATATGCGCTGCTATATGTACACTGCACATCCCATAGTCCATTTTCAGAGCACACTATAGAAGGTGCTATGTTCCTAAATATGTTGGGACCATAAAGAACGAACTCAGGACTGTACTCCCCTGAACAGCACAGCGGCGTGTGCATTGTCATTATGTCTCCCAGGTTTGTCTAAGACTGAATTCTAGCATCATAGTGTCAACCAAATCTTTAATAAGTTGGCAACATCTTATAAAATTTATGTGTATGGTGATAGTTAAGAGTACTCTATTGGGAGACAAAAGAAATTATTATACAGGATTTTATATAGCGCAAATGGTTTGCTCAGCGATTTACATTATAGTGGGAGACAATACAGCAACAATACAGTTCAATACAAGAGGGATAGGAGGGCCCTGCTCCTTTGAGCTTACAATCTAGGAGGGAGGGGTGAATGGTACAATAGGTAATTGTGGGGGATAGAGTGGTTGGAAGCGTAGAGGATTCCAGTATTACCAGAGGGCGGGATAGGCTTCCCTGAAGAAAGGTTTTTAGTGATCGCCTAAAAGTAAGTAGAGTAGGCGATAGTCTGATAGATTGGGGTAGGGAGTTCCAGAGGATGGGTGACGCCCTGGAAAAGTCTTGGAGACGAGCATGGGAGGAGGAGATAAGGGAGCTAGAGAGTAGGAGGTCATTATGCATTCCAGTGAGTTTTCAGGGGTATCGGGCAATATTGGCTAGAGGGGGATTGGTGTTTTTGCATCAAAAAAAATTTTAAGGGGTCCAAAGAACTTTTCAGCTTCTTGGTAAAATATCATTAGGAATATGTCAACATCAAAATAATTTCTCTGAGTTGAATTGGTGTTATGATATAGCAATATAGGAAAGAGCCAAGTGTGGGCTCCATGTATTGAAAAATGTTTTAGTAAGGACATCTTGTTTGGTGGCTTCCAGTGTGTCAAGAAGCATGTGTTTATAGAATCATTATTTATAAATGGGCTGATTCTGAGGGAAACTGTTCTTTATCCACTTGTCCTCCATAGGCTCCCCCCCCCCCCCCCCCTTTCCTCACCAGGCCATTTTTTGCAATACGGCACTGCGTTATTACTTTCACTGACCGTTGCCCGGTCATGCAACGCTGTACATAAATGAAATTTATGTCCTTTTTTTTCCCCCCACAAATAGAGCTTTCTTTCGGTGGTATTTGATCGCCTGTGTTTTTTTTTCTATTTTTTGCAATATAAACAAATGCCAAAATTTTGAGGGGAAAAAAAACTATTTTTGACTTTTTTGCTCTAAAATATGTCCAGTAAAAATAAATAAAAAAAATCAAAATTCTTCATAAATTTAGGACAAAATGTAATCTGCGAAATGTCTTTGCAAAAAAAAAAAAAACAAAATCCCAATGCATGTTAATAAATTGGTTTATGTGAAAGTTTATAGCGTCTACAAATGGTATATATACTGGAATTTGAATTTTTTTTTTTTTTTGTACTAGTAATGGCAATCAGCGATTTTATAGCAGGACTGCGGCAGGCATTCTGACACTGGGAGGGGGGGGGGGGAATGACTAACTGCCAGTGACACTAATACAGTGATCAATGCTAATAAAAAGCACTGACACTGTACTAATGGCACTGGGCAGGAAGGGGTTAACATATGGGGCGATCAAAGGGTTAACAGTGTGCTGTTTTGCTGTGTGTTTTTACAGCAGAGAAATACACAGCAGCATGTCCTTGCTGGCAGGAGAGAGACCTGTGTTGTTTACACACAGGTCTCTCCCCTGTCAGTGATACTCTGCCATCGCTGGGTGCTGGTGGGGAATCTCCAGCTGGGACCTGGTGGTAAATACCAGGTGCCCCTTATCCAGAAATGCAAAGTCACACACACATATATATGTGATTTTGCACAGCCCTGCTGCCCTGTGGCAGTAGTTCTGCTATAGAGCGGTCGGAGAGCGGTCGGGAAGCGGTTAATCAAGTTCAGTAGAATCGGGTTTCTTTGTTGTGATCTGGCCAGTAACACGCCTCCTATCTTAGGGTGTCTCCACTCTGGTTAGAGGACCTACAGACACCTTTGCACAGCAGCATTGTCAGTCTGGGGAGAAGGTAGTGTTACACTAGCAGATTAGATGGACCTGACTATAATGGATCAGCTGGAGTTCAGCTTTAATTTTGTTAATGTGTTACAGCAACAGTTTTTTTTTTTTTTTTTGTAAGTTTTACATAAATAAAAGCCAACCATTGTAAGCACCCCTGCCAGTGGTAAAGCAGCACTAAACCCGTCGAATCGGATATCGTATGTACTCTCCAGTGCCTCAGGATATGCACAGCCAAAAGGGAAGCCAAGGGTACCAGGACAGCGACAACCAAAGCAATACAATAAACCTTGGATAATGCACTAGGTGTATGTGCCACCTGTTTTTTCTCTCTAAACCCATCGAATGAACAGATTTCCCCACTGTTACTTGAAGGTAGGGTTGCACCAATACTGGTTTTTATTGGCAAGTATGAGTACTGATACTTTCGGTCCCTTTCGGCCCTGCGAGCACCGCAAGCGGCTAGTTTTGGATTTGACATGACACTTTTAGCATGTGAGTTGTGATAAGATTTTATCCTGTTTGCATATTGCTGCACTTCATGGCACTTCCCTGTCTTTGTATACTGGGATGGATCACACAGGAGTGGTGGGGAAAATCATGTGCGATTTGGACATGAATCGCACTGCATTCCTGTTCAAATCGCTTGTTTTTATGGGCTTGTATCGCACTGCAAAGGTCTCGGTTTCGGGTATCAGGAGCATTTGTACGAGTACTCGTGCAAGTACTTGGTATTGGCACCAATATTGGCATCTGTGCAGCCCTACTTGAAGGTGTGCTGTGAATGATACCTGTCGGTTGGTAGTCGTGCGAACTGTCAAGCCACCAAATGGCTGTTGTCATAACTAATTACCTGCAGCAGATCAGTCTATGCCTCCTCTTAGGGAGATTCACGCTCTGTTTGACTTGTTTACTATTGTCACAGAAAGTGAAAGAAAATCACAAATTTTAGATTGTCACCAGAACAGGAATAAAGGGGAAATCTTCCAATGAGTCATTAGTTCTTGTGACAACGGTCTAGGAGAGGTGGTTCCCTCGCCTTGGAAAGATCCTCTCGCTTTCTATTTAGTGTAAAGGGATGGGCAGCGAAGTGGTTCACACTTCTGCGTAGCAGCACGAGGGTTGTCTGAATCCCAGCCATGGCACTACCTGCCTGGACAGGGGTGTAGAAATTTTTGAAAAAAAAAAGATTTGTCCAGGGATTAAATCAGTGTCCCAATCTACTTGTCCTGATAAAAATAAATTTTAACCAAAACCGTATTTAAATCCACTTTTAAGTCATGTCTGGGGCTTTTAAAAACAAAAGCGGCTTTATGGCGACTTAAACATGTAATATTTTTAACATTATTATTATACAGTATTTATATAGCGCCAATAGTTTGCTCAGCTCTTTACATTATAATGGGAGACAATACACGAGACAGTACAGTAACAATACAGTACAATACACGAGGGGTTCGAGGGCCCTGCTCCTTGGAGCTTACAATCTAGGAGGGAGGGGATGGTGGTACAGGAGGAAATAGCTGTGGGGGATGGAGTGGTAGAAAGCGTGGAGGAGATCGGCAGTTAGGTGATGGTGGGGTAGGCTTCCCTGAAGAGATCGGTTTTCAGGGTGTGCCTAAAGGTGAGGAGGGTAGGTGACATTGGCGTAGTGAGTTCCAGAGGATGGGGGAAGCCCTGGAGACGGGCATGGGAGGAGGAGACCAGGGAACTAGAGAGTAGGAGGTCTTGTGAGGAGCGGAGAGTACGTGTTGGGTGGTATTTGGATATCAGGTCGGTGATGTAGTTTGGGGCAGTGTTATGAACAGCTTTGTACGTCAGTGTTAGGATTTTGAATTTGATCCGTTGGGCAGTCGGAAGCCAGTGGAGGGATTGGCAGAGGGGGGTGGTGGAAACGGAACGGTTAGTAAGGTGTTTGAGTCTGGCTGCAGATTTCAGGGTAGACTGAAGCGGGGATAGCCTGTGATGAGGTAGGCCGGTGAGGAGGGAGTTGCAGTAGTCGAGTCGGGAGATAAGGGAGTGAATGAGTTGCTTAGTAGTTTCTGGGGTTAGGAACGGGCAGATTTTGGAGATGTTGCGGAGGTGGAGTCTACATGAGTTTGTCAGCGATTGGACCTGGGGCTGGAAAGACAGATTGGAGTCTAGAATGACACCTAGTACTCTGGCTTGCGGGGTGGGATTGATGGTGGCGTTGGTCGTGATGGAGAAGTGTGTGGGGGGGGGGGGGGGGGCGGGCTGCGGGGAAGACTAGGAGCTCGGTTTTGGAAAGGTTTAATTTGAGGAAGTGGAGTGACATCCAATCTGATCAATCCAAACATTGCGCTATTTATCTCCTCCTCCCCTCCCTCTCTAACACTGCACCCGGGGACTAGCAGGGAGAAGAGAGACCTTGCAGTGTAATGAGCACCGATTGGCTGCTTGTCAGGAAAGGGGAGTGTCAGACTTATCCTTTATCCTTTTGGCTGCCAGAGTTTTTGCCTTATTTGCACACATTTAAAAAATTGTTTTAGGCCTGAAAATGACACAAACCCCCCAAACATTGTATATTTTCTGAAAGCGGAGACCCTAGAGCAGCAATGGGCAAACTACGGCCCGCGGGCCGTATACGGCCCGGCGGACCTTTTAATCCGGCCCGTGGAGCCTGATGCTGTCAGGATGTGTGTAGGCGGGGGCAGCGTGACGAACGTGAGGGGAGCTAGGCTCCTCTCACAGTCCACCCTGAAGACCGGTGTACCATGAAAATCTGTCTCCTATGAGGATTTGTCCCCCTCGACGTATCTGCGCATGTGCCGGAGATCGCCGATCGGCTGCTAATGCCTGAAACTGGCACATGCGCAGATACGTCGATGGGGACAGATCCTCATAGGAGACAGATTTTCATGCTACACCGGAACGGCGCGGAAACATGGCGAGAGGAACGCGCGGAGCAAAGGTAAGTGAATTGACACAGGGGGGACTTGGGGACTTAATATGGGGGATGAATTACTATAGGGGGGATGAATTACTATATGGGGGGATGAATTACTATAGGGGGGATGAATTACTATAGGGGGGATGAATTACTATATGGGGGGGATTGAATTACTATATGGGGGGATGAATTTACTATGGGGGGATGAATTACTATATGGTGGATGAATTACTATATGGGGGATTAATTACTATGCTTACTATGGGGGAATATTACTATACTTACTATGGATGACACATACACATCATTCATCTACTCTTGGTCCGGCCCCCGGGTCCAATATGTGAACCCATTGCGGCCCTCAAGTCAAAAAGTTTGCCCACCCCTGCCCTAGAGAATAAAAAAGCGGTAGTTCCAGTTTTTTATGGCACACAATATTATCACAAAGGTCTAGGAAACACACAATTTCAGAAAAAAAAATATACTTCAGTTAATTTTAGGGTCACAAAAAGCAATAAACTATCCAGTTTTTTGTAAAATATAAAAGATGATGTTGCATCGAGTACATAGATATCCAACATGTCAAACCTTAAATTTGTGCACGCTTGTGAAACGACAACAAACTTTAGTACCCTATATTTTCTATATGTAACAATTTTAAAGCCCCTTCTAGGTCAACAGTATAGTGTATGGAGGAGGTTTTTGCTAGAAATATTGCTCTCATTTCTGGCATGGGCGGCAATATGTAACGTGTATCGCAGTCGTCATTTTCATGTTTAGGCACCCGAGTATGTTTTTACATTTGTGCCTGCATGCGTACATATGTGGGGGTGGGGGCCTTGAAAATGTTGGGGGTGTTATAATGCTTGGGTGCAACTTCCATTTTAAAAAAAAAAACAATTTTTTTTTTTCCTTTAAAATCATACGGGACAAAGTCCCCTATGTGATGATTTTTTGGTGACAGGTTTTTTTTTTTTTGAGACATGCAGGGTTTAAAAGACCCGGCAAGTCTCCCCTGTACGTCTCCCTTGAAACGTCTCCCCTGTACTACACTGAATTTAATGCGGTGCACACCGCACCGCATTACATTCTTTCCCAGCCCCAATGACCAGGAATCTCTCAAACGGGGACCCAGAAGTGACGTTGCATCACGTCCGGATCAGGAGAAGGAGAGGAAATCAGTAAAATGATGGGGGGGGGGGGGGGGGGGAGGTGATGTCAAGATTCCCACCTTCTCCATATCGGAACAGCTTGAATTTATACTTTGGGGAGGGCCCCAGATGTTCAGTGGCCCCTCTGACTGTACCATCAAATCTTGGATGAGAACCTTCTTCCCTCAGCCAGGGCATTGAAAATGGGTCGTGGATGGGTGTTCCAGCATGACAATGACCCAAAACACACGGCCAAGGCAACAAAGGAGTGGCTCAAGAAGAAGTACATTAAGGTCCTGGAGTGGCCTAGCCAGTCCCAGACCTTAATCCGATTGAAAATCTGTGGAGGGAGCTGAAAGTTCGAGTTGCCAAACGTCAGCCTCCAAAACTTAATGACTTGGAGAGGATCTGCCACGAGGAGTGGGCCAAAATCCCTCCTGAGATGTGTGCAAACCTGGTGGCCAACTCCAGGAAACGTCTGACCTCTGTGATTGCCAACAAGAGATTTGCCACCAAGTACTAAGTCATGTTTTGTGAAGGGGATCAAATACTTATTTCCCTCATGAACATGCAAATCAGGGCATCATTTGTAAGACATGTATTTCTGCTGAATGTTTTGTTGCTATTCTCTCTCTGTTACAATACACCGAACATTCGATTTTTAGACTTATTTCTTTGTGAGTGGGCAAACATTGAAAATCAGCAGGGGATCAAATAGGCATTTCCTGCACTGTACATAAGTTGTACCTGTGTAGCTGCAGTCTTCTCTATCTGTTCAAAGCGCACAATTTATCCAGCTTTTCTGAACTTTCAGAAAGCAAGGGGCGGGGACCTTACGTTACACACTGCAGGCAGAGCTGTTTGGAGTAAAGGGAAACACATCCCCTTCACACAGCTCACAGAAACATTGCTGAGGCTCTGAATCACAGGCTGCGTGCTTGAGATCCCTCCTCATCACCATTTTTCTCGGTATCAGGAAAACTTGTGAGAAGTGATTCATGCTGATAGCAAATGAATGAGGCAGTAGACAGGACACTTAGTGATCTGGATTGAGACAATTACACACTATAGTGCAGTGATGGCGAACCTTTTTGAGCCCGAGTGCCCAAACTGCAACACAAAACCAACTTTTTTATTTCAAAGTGCCAACACTGGAATTAATCACTTGCCTACCGGGCACTTCTACCCCCTTCCTGCCCAGGACAATTTTCAGCTTTCAGTGCTGTTGCACTTAACAAAGACAATTGTGCGGTCATGCAACACTGTAACCATATGCAATTTTTATCATTTTTTCACACAAATAGAGCTTTTTTTGGTGGTATTTAATCACCTCTGGGTGTTTTATTTTTTGCACTATAAATGAAAAAAGAGCAAAAAATTAAAAACATAAAAAGTTTTCCTTTGCTTCTATTCTAAAATTTTGCAAACCGGTAATATTTCTTCTTTGATGTGCGTTGGTGAGGCTGCACTGATAGGCAGCACTGATGGGCATTGATGAGGCGGCACAGATAGGTAGCACTGATCAGGCGGCACTGGTGAGCATTGATGAGGAGGCTCTGATGATGCACTGATATGCAGGAAATGATGGGCACTGATAAGCGGCACTGACAGCACCAACTGGAGGCACTGACAGACGGCACTGACCGGCGGCACTGCTGGGCATCATTGATGGGTGGCACTGATGGGCAGCACTAATGAGGTGTCACAGATAGGTGGCACTGATAGGCGACACTGATAATGTTTACTGATAGACAGCACTGATAGGTGGCACTGACTGACATCACTGCTGGGCACTGACTGGCACAACCGCTGGGCACTGACTGGTGGCACTGACTGGCAGCACTGCTGGGCGGCACAGGTGGGTGGCACAGGTGGGGGGCACTGTGTGGCACAGGTGGGCGCACTGTTGGGCACAGGTGGGCGCACTGTTGGGCACAGGTGGGCGGAACTTGTGTGTGGCACAGGTGGGCACCGATCATCAGGGCACTGATGATCAGTGACCCTGATGATTGGTGCCGATCCCTGTTCTGACAACTGCCGGTTTTCGGCAGTACTTTCCTCACGATCTGACAGCGTGAGGAAAGTGCAGCCGAGAACCGGCATTTGCATTTCCCGGTGATCAGCGTGTCATTGGACACGGCTGATCACGTGGTAAAAGGCCGCTGTGATTGGCCTTTTACCATGTCACGTGATCAGCTGTGTCCGCAGGACACAGCGATCACGGAGATCGCCCGGTGCGCGCCCCCGGAGGTGCGCAGGAGAGCGCGTTCTCTTCTCTTCCTCTCTCCTCCTGGCGTGCCCACTGAGATGGCTCTGCGTGCCATAGGTTCGCCATCACTGCTATAGTGGGATATACTTTATTCAGATTTCATGTCTGAGGCTTACAACCACTTTAAACTATGCACTGAATAAATCCAAAGGACTCTTGGATAATTGCTCTGTAATTAGAAGCTTGAACAGACTAATCACGGTCTATTGTTTTTTTTTTATATTGGGCTTTGGCTCGCTAAACACACGTTTCTACCACAAAGTCTAAAGTTTTCAGCAGGTAGCTCATGTACAGGCTGATCTATAGGGAATGTTTCCTGAATTTTCTTTTCTTTGCAATCTGAAGTACAAACAAGTACCAAGCCTATGGCAGCAAAAGAGACGTATTTGATAGTTTAAAGCGGAGTTCCTGTTTTGTGTTTATTGCCTAGTTACATTGGTTCAGCGAGGACCATATTCCATACCTGTGGGACTGGTTTGGAAGCAGAGAATCACTGTAGTGTTTGGTGCTACAACACAGATCGATGTGCTCCCTGGGCCTTGTGCCAGGCGATTGCCCTTCTGCATAGTGAACACAGGCAATTGCTCACACAGCACAAATGTCATTCACAGTGCCTTGTATTTCTTTTCAGTGAAATGATGGGGGGGGGGGGGGAGGTGATGTCAAGATTCCCACCTTCTCCATATCGGAACAGCTTGAATTTGTACTGTGTTGAGAGAGCACCCCCCCGCGTTCATTATGCAGCTGCTTGGCACGGGACGTGGAAGACCACAGCAGTCACTATAGTAGTGCTAAATACTACAGGGATTCTCTGCTTTGACAGTGGTTGATCAGGTATGGAAGATGTATGCCTTCATTGGTCCAGGCTGGGACAGTGTGACCATGCTATATAAAAATCGTACCTGGAGTTCAGCTTTAACGCTGACCCCCTTCCAGTTCCGGACGCTTTGACCCCTTCCAGTCCGGACGCTTTGACCCCCTTCCAGTCCGGACGCTTTGACCCCCTTCCAGTCCGGACGCTTTGACCCCCTTCCAGTCCGGACGCTTTGACCCCCCTTCCAGTCCGGACGCTTTGACCCCCTTCCAGTCCGGACGCTTTGACCCCCTTCCAGTCCGGACGCTTTGACCCCCTTCCCCCTTGACCCCAGTCCAGTCCGGACGCTTTGACCCCCTTCCAGTCCGGACGCTTTGACCCCCTTCCAGTCCGGACGCTTTGACCCCCTTCCAGTCCGGACCCCCTTCCAGTCCGGACGCTTTGACCCCCTTCCAGTCCGGACGCTTTGACCCCCTTCCAGTCCGGGCCAATTTTCAGCTTTCAGTGCCATCACACTTTGACTCCACAAAAGCCTCCTTCTGCTTTAACCACTTCCAGTCCGGACACTTTTACCCCCTTCCTGACCAGGGCAATTTTCAGCTTTCAGCGCTATCACACTTTGAATGACAATTGCGCGGTCATGCAACACTGTACCCATATTAATTTTTTAGCATTTTTTTGAGACAGCTAAAACTTTATTTTGGTGGTATTTATTCACCACTGGGATTTTTTTATTTTTTTTTTTGCTATATAAATTAAAAAGTCCAAACATTTTGAAAAAAAAAAAGTGTTTTTATTCTAAAATTTTGCAAATAAATAATCTTTCTTCATAAATCTTGCCCAAAATGTATTCGTCTATATTTTTAGTTAAAAAAAAAAAAAAAAAACCAAATTAGTTTATAACCAAAAGTTATAATTTTTCAAAAAAAATTTCACTTTTTTTTTTTTTTTTAACATACTGTCATCCTGGCAGTACAGTGTCACCATAGTGACACTGTACTACTTGTGGGGGGTGATGAAGATTTTTTTTTTCTCTTTTTTTTTTTTTACACTGATTGCTTTTACACCCATAAAGGCTGTAAAAGCAATCCTTTCTCTCAGCCATTGAGAAATACTGTGAGCGCTTTGATTGGTCACAGCTTGTCTTATGGTACAAGGCTGTTGAATAGCCTTGTACCATGTGACCTCTGTGATCATTCACAGATTTCACACGTAGTAAGCAATGATGTCAGGAAGTGACATCTTGTTTACTACTATTCATGTGATCACTGATTGGCCAATCAGTGATCACATGAATTGGGACCTCACGCAGAGGTCCCGTACAGCGATCTGTATTCCGTTGTGTCCGGGTGCCGTGCGTTCTCAGGGAGTGCGCACAAGCAATTGATGCCGGGGAATGTTTAGAAACGTCCATGCGCATCAGCAGCACTCCCGTCCGGTTGTTTATCTACATGGGTCAGACAGGAAGTGGTTAATTACAATGTCAAATAGTTGACAGTGAACTAAAGACCTTATGAACGAGTGCGGATCAGCTAAGCTGGCTGTTGTGCTAATGCCTTTGCTATGTTACCTCAGGAATGTATTACATGTAGCTGATACATTGCTGAGATTACCATGTTTATTGGCTGTTGTGGCAATGTCTAGGGTATTGGTCATCTGCTTAAAGTAGAACTAAAGGCTAATCTTTTTTTCATTTTGGATAGAGTAAGGGAGGGTTCTAACCCCCGTCGGGTTTCTTTTGCCATTGGGGAGACTTTCCCTCACTTCCTGTCCCATAGCCACAACAGGACATGAGGAAATACCTTCAAAATGAGGGAATTCCTGATGGTCACCAGAACTAGCGTCCCCATCGGAAGAATTCCCCTGTGTTCCTGTTCTGGGGAAAACCCCAAATTTGGGATTTTCTTTTACTTACTCTTTCGTTAACAGTAAACAGGACAAAATATCCCTAATAGAGACAGAGAGCCATAGATACCTGAAAGGTGTTTTAATTCCTCTCAGCTCTATGTATAATTAAAGCAAAGTTTTACTTTTAGTTCTGTAAAGCAATATTAAACCCAAACGAAAACGAAAATGTAGTAAATTGCAACGCACCAGTTCTTAGATGTAGTGGCAGCTTTTGTTTTCTTATTATAGGTTTTTTTTCCCCTTTATCTGGTGACCCAGCCAGTAAGTCTGTTATTTTTCATCTTTCTTTAACCACCTCCCGCCTGCCATATAGTAATATGACGGACGTAAGGTGGTTCTCTCGTTCTGGGAGGACGTCATATGACGTCCTCACATTCTCACCGCGCATGCGTGGCTCCCGAAGCGTGCGCGCGGCGATCGGCGGTGCGCTGTGTCCCTCGGACACCACAGATCACCAATCCACGAAAGAGCCGAAGATGTCAGCTCGGTCATGTGATCAGCTGTGTCCAATTCTTTACTGAAGAATCTCAGATTTCCACGCGGTTTTGGTTACACTTTTTTTTTTTATTCATTAGAACAGGTAGATTTGGACCAAGGTTTTGTCCTTCAACAAGTAGTTTTTTAAAACAAAAACGTCTGCGCCCCTGTATTGTATTGCATTACATTGTCAGGGGGGGAGTGCTATGTGTAAATGGAAATAACTGTTTGTCTAAAACGTAAACATTACTTGGCATGCATATACTTGGCTTCAAGTTTAAAGCAGACCTAGCATCTGGTATTTCTTCATGTCAAGATCTAAACCTGTATCAGGAAAAGAGTTGGAAAATGCTAACTTTTGTTTGCTTAGGGATTAGAACCCCTGTTGGTTTTTATTGCTGTCTCTGCCTCAATTGGGGAGATTCACTCTTTGTCTTGGTTACTGTTCTCAAAAGTGAAAGTAAGAAGAAAAAAATATCCCAAATTTTGGGTTGTCCCCTGAACAGCAATAGAGGGGAAATTCTTCAATGAAGGCACTAGTCTTGGTGACAACCAGGGATTTCCTCCGTTTCAAGAGATTTTCTCTCACTTCCTGTTTTGGCTGTGAGACAGGAAGTGAGGACATAGTCTCAATTGGACACAGATGGTATAAATAAAAATCCTGACAGAGGGTTTAACCCTCAGTTACTTTATCCAAAATAATAATAAACAAAAAAAAAAAAGTTTTAGTTCCTTTAAAGCGGAGTTTCACCCAAAAGTGGAAGCTTTGTTTTTTTGCCCTCCCCCATATTTGGCACCTTTTGGGGGGGGGAGTGGATATGTGGTTTTAACAAGTACCCACTTCCGGCAAAGTGAGCTTAACTCTTGGTCCCTCCTTCTTTTCGGAGTCTCCTGGGAACCTTCACAGGTGCCAGAAGACTGCCGGACCAATCAGGATGCACAGCGCGACTCACGCATGCACAGTGGGCACCCAGCCGTGAAGCAGCAAGCTGTTATAGCCTGGTTCCCATAGTTGAAATGCCGAGGAGAGAAGGGATGGTGTGGGTGAGCACGTTGCTGTACCCTCAGACAGGTGAATGTAGCTGCTGACTTTTAATAAACACAAACGGCTGGAACTCCACTTTCAGTACATTTCAAAATCCAGTTATAGATATGACCCTTGAAAATTGATGAACCCAAAAATAAACTTTATACTCCAAAAAATTTTAGCGTGGTTCATTAAATTAGGCCGGGCTATAAAAAATGTGATGGTATCTTTGCACAGTTGCAGGTCATTACTCACATAGCAAGTCCGTTAGAGTGGTTGGAAACTTGTGAAATGAAAAACAAAGCATATCCTTCTATAGTGTGTACTTGCCTCAACCCTTTGGACCTAATGGGGTTTATTTACTAAAGCTGGAGAGTCCAAAATCAGACTCCCTTCTGCATAGAAACCAATCAGCTTCTAACCTCAGCTTGTTCAATGAAGCTTTGGCAATGAAACCTGGAAGCTGATTGGTTTCTATGCAGAAGGGAGTCTGATTTTGGACTCTCCAGCTTTAGTAAATAAACCCCAATGTGTTTTCTGTCTGCTCTCTCATTCCTCTATGTGCATGAGTCAATTCTGACAGTTTATGCTGACACCAAGCAATCTCCAGCACA